TTGAAATTTGTCTTTCAATATGGCTTTTCTAGCGTAGATGACTACGCGGATGGACAGGATTATGCAAATGGGGCATGTTGGTTTATCCACAAAGGGTTGGTCATCTACCATTCCACAAGAGAATTGGCTAATCTCAACAATCTACGAGGATTGACTAGTCTGGCCAATAAGTTGAATAAGCTCTAACTGCAGAGATAAACTCCTCCCCAGCCAGAGAAGAGAGACCTTCTTCCCCACGCCACTGAAAGGAAGCAGTAAAATGCCAGACACACTTCAGGGCACCAGCAGCAGCCATAGGTGAACTGTAGAAATGAGATGGGACTTTGAAGGGGAGAGGAAATCCAATATTGTCAGGACTGAGAACTTTATTGGACAATTTTTTGGGGGGAGGGAAGTCAATATTGGCAGGACTAAGAACTTGGTAAAACATGAAGCTGAGGTGCCTGTGTGCGCATTTCTAGTGTATTGTTATTAATCTGGATTATAACTTTTTTACTCCTCCAGTATGGTTCTTTGTGGTCTGTGAGTTGTCATATCAGATTTTGGACCCAGCAAAGCAGTGGGATTGTTACTGAGCTGTGTAGGAGGAAGCATGGGAGCGTGGGGGACATCTCTGACTTCATAGGAATTGGGTTTGTGTTATTCATGCTATAGATGAGGATGCCCTCCCCCCTGTGAATTTGGTAAAAGTTAGATATGGTCCCCATGTGGCCTTTGCTATTTTTCACACTTGGCTAGACATTAGGTCTTTGGATGATTTTAGTTCCAGGCTCTAAGGGTCAATGAGTTGGTTTGGATTTGATGACAATAAAGATGTTTGTTTGCTTTGTTAAATGCCATGCTCTCAAGTTTCCACCAATCTCTACTAGACCATGAAGTCAGGACTTTTTATGCTTTTGAATTTTGTTTCAAACTTTTCTTCCATTCTATCCAGAACTTTCTGTTGTGGTCAATTTCATATAATTTTCCTGATCTTAAAGGTGTAGAGGCTGCAATTTGTTGGGTTCAATAGTCTTTTGGATCAATTATTTCTATGTATGTTTGATTTCCTTTACTGTTTCTTTTTGCTCTGGATGGGAAAGGACCAACAATTACACCTTAGATCTTCTCATAACTCAGTTGCGAAGTAGGAACAAAGTAGGAACATTCTTTATAAACTATGTTGCACCAATTAACTTCCTGAGGCAATAGCCCTGAGCCCCCAGGCCCAGAGGCACATTCTCTCATGGTATTTTGTTATTGCTGTTTTTTTTTTTTTGTTATTGCTGTTTTAATAACTTTATCCTCTGTATACTGTATTGTATTATGGATATAGTCAAAGCATATGTAAACAGGCTAGAAATAGCCTCTGTCATATTTGGTTGGAATTGGGTTTTTTTGGGGGGGAAGGGAAGAATATAGTGTATCAGACTGCTAACCAAAAGGTTTCAATTCACCAGCAATTTCCTCTTCTAAAGATTTGTAACCTCAGAAATCTAATGGAGGGTTGCTGAGTTGGAATCAACTTGAAAGCAGTAGGATGATGGATATAAATTCTTGTTAGTAGCATTCTTAACAATTTTAAATTTTATTAATTTTCAGTCTTGATGTCAACTTATGACAAAAATTTATGTATTTATCTATGTGGTACCATAATTAGAATCAATGGAAATTACTACTGCCTTATATTACTTATAATTTTTTTCAGAGCTTTGTGACTTTTAACAGCTAAAAAATTTGTCACTTTAGATTAATGTTAGAAAAATGAGGAAAAAAGGATTAGAAAATAACATTTTCCTTCAGGAACTGGTGTGTTTCGCTATATTTTATGTAACAGGTTAAATATGTAACCTTTAAATAAAGGCAGTTTGACTTTAAATAAAGATAGTAACTTTAAAGAAATAGTAGTTTGACTTTAAATAAAGGTAGTTTGACTTAAAATAAAGATAGTAACACAAATTAAGTCTTAAGAAACTAGAGTTTGTTAAGCTCCCATCTTTATGTTTGGTCCTGATACCAAAACTAACATTATTGACAATAAAATGTGAAATTCTTTAATCCAAGTAATTTACACTGGATTAAGTTCAATCATCTATTAAATAATTATAATGTATTGCTCTTGAGTGTCTATTACTTGATTCTGACACACTTTGAGCAAGCACTATACCTATGTCACTGTGCTAAGAACTGATATGTAATGAACATTGAGACAATTCCTTGCACTTTAGGAATCACTTTCATATAAATTTTAAAAAGTTAAAACTTAATATTTAAGCCTACTAAATCTTTTAGAAAGAAGCCCTTGTGGAAGAATCCATAAGGCACTGGCCTGCTAAGTAAAAGGTTTGAATCCAAGAAAGATGAGCAGCATCCTCCCACAAAGATTTCTAGCCTTGGAAACTCGATAGAATGTTGCTATGAGTCAGTGAAACAACTGACTTAATGGCAGTGAGTAAACTATTTAAATCTTTTATCACAGTAATAATTAAATATCTTTAGCTTATGTTATTATTGTTGTTGTTGATAGCCAATGAGTCAAACATGTCTCAGTGACCTATATCTATCATTTCTCAAAGTTAATAGAGTTTCCAGAGGCATGTTGTTTAGGAAGTGGGTACCACTCCTACTTCCAAATATTTAGCTTATACAAGAATAATTCTTCTCACATTTCACAAGTGTTTCCAGCTGCTAAAAAGCTACCTATATTAGTTAGCTATTGCCACAAATGCTGCACAATAAACAAGCTCAACAGATCAGCAGTTTGAGGTGTGGCTGATCTTGACTTGGGCGAGGCAGGTAGTTAGTACTTAGCTGTCCACTGAACATGGCTTCATGTAAGAGACCAAATAGAAGTCAATTCTATGTATATCATTCTGTGGCCTAGGCTGAAGGGGATAGTGGATTCCTAGTGCCTCTCTATTCCTCATGGAGATGGCACAAGTGCCAAGACAACTAAGCTCATCTGTGATCAAATATTTCAAATATTTGCTTGGATCCCATTAGCTAAAACAATGCCTACCCAAGTGTAACTGGGGAAAAAACAAGGAAATATAATTAATCAACCTTGAATCTCTGGCAATGAAGTAGAAACATATTTCCATTAAATAGGAATAAGAAATGAGACCAATAATTCAGTCTATAAAACTCCTTGTTACTACCCTTTTTTAAACATTGTGTTATCATTGGCAGTGTTGGCTAAGTTTTACCTTTGTGCTCCTAAAGCTGTTTATACCTATTTGCCACACGTGCAGTTTCACTATGTATTTGAAAGCTTTACAGGGTCATTATCCTGTGACATTCATTTCATTATTGTGACTACCTTGAATCCTCCACTTCCTAAACAACAAACCTCTCGAAACTCTATGAACTTAAATAAATGTCGATTTTTAGAGAAAGGCTGTAGGCCTTTTGTTCATAGGATCGTTATGAGTCGTGCTCGACTGGATGGCAATCAACAACAACAACAAGAGCAATGCCTAGTGGCAAGAAACTGTGCTGCAATCCCAAAGGCACGTGGTTTGAATACTACCAGCTGCTCCATGGGAGAAGGATGCGCAATCTCCTCTTGTGCAAATAACTGCCTCTGAAAACCTACCCAAGGGTCAGCTATGGGTCAGTTCTGATTCACTAGCACACAACAGCAACACAACAATATTTCTAAAGTACCCTGATTTTTTTAAAAGAAAAGCAATACATGCATACTGTGTAGTTATTCATTGAAAGATGCTTCATTAACTGCCCTCCCTACTAGTGTGGTAACAGCATTATTTGATACTTAGTTTACAGAAATGAAATGATGACTGATATTTACTAAAAGCAAAATCATATGCATATAAAAATGGATTTAAATTCTTATTGTATCCCTAATATATTGTATAGTGCTGCTGGCAGGCAGTCTGTAGTGAGCTGCGCTGCTAAACCAAATGTGGTGCCTCTGTGACAGTTTAAATGCATCAGCAGCTCCAAGCGAGAAAGATGGGTTCATCTCTTCCCATTTACGGCCTCCTGGCAGTGAGTGAGTGATTACATTTAATAAGCTGAAAAACTAACTAAATAAATGTTACAAAATAAATTTTCATAAAAATTATTAGAAATCATTTAGCTACAATAATAAAGAACACCTACCTTTAAAAAATATTCACTAAATTAAATATTTGCTGAAGTAATTATTATATATATCACAGAAAATTGAGGAATTATGTTAATAGACCTATTTAGTAACTCCCTTTTCTTCTTTTCTCAGACCTCTGTTCATTTGCAGCCCATAGTGGAGAACTTTAAATGAACTGTAATCCCTTTTTTTCTGAAGATATTAAAGACAGGTACACTGTAGAGTATATCTTCTCCCAGAGGAAAAGTCTTCAAAAAATGGAAGCTTTGTAAATAATAGCACAGGAAAAGAAATTCATAGAAAGAAATGAAATAAGCACACAAGAGTTTACAATTCTAGAAAAAGCCATGATTGTGGAAACCCTAGCATGTATTAGTTTGATTGTGGTGACTTGTTTACAGTCTCTACTTGCAAAGAAATTAAATAATCAACTAAGACGTTTTAATTGCAGCAAAAGCCATAGATGTGAAAAGTCTGTCATGTAATAGTTTGATGGTGGGTGACAGGAGCATATAGTAAACATGGGTTCACATAGACTCTTCTTGCAATATTTGAAATGATTCAAGAAATAAAATGCCTAAGGTCTGGAGAATACCACAAGCCCCCTAGACTTCAGCCAGGAATTGAGACACCTATTTCTCAAAATTTATTATAGTCAATAAGGTGCAGTTGACATAAATGAAAAACACCTTTTTAACACTGAAAACTTAGATTCTTTTATTTAGTGAACAAGAAAACATTGAATAGAAGAAAAAATTTTGCAAGCTTCAGGTCTGCTCAAGCAGCTTTTCAGAATTTGTGCAAAAATCTGGTTAGATTTTGTATTCAGCCAGATTCTATATTGACTACTATACATGACTAAATTGTAGGTCAACTTCTCCTTGAAGGCCAAGTGTCAGGCATCTCTCCTCTACTGAATGAGGCAGGTGCGTCTGCTTCTAAAGCGCAGGCGCCTTTTAGGATGATAATTCTCTAAGTAGGAAAGTTGCTTGCTGTTAAAGGCTCCACGACGCTTTTGTCTTATGAACTGCACCGCTTCTTCATACTTCATTCCACCTTCAATCAAGGCTAGGGCGACCATCACTGGAGCTCTACCGAGCCCTGCAGTGCAGTGGACTGCAATACAACATCCAGGACTTTCACGAAATTTCCTTTTGACAAGATCTAACCATTGATCAACGATCTGATTTGATGGTGCTGTACCATCAGCAAAAGGCCAGTCAAAAACCTGGATGCCCTCCTGCTCCAAAAAATCAGTGTTGTAAGTTGCCTCACAAACTCTCACAATGGTGGTAACTCCATTCCTCTTAAGTTCCTGTAGGAACTTGTTTAAGGAGGCCTGGTTTGGATTGTGTGCGATCAGAAATCGCATGTTTCTGTATGTGATCTCCACAGGAGCAGGGCGGTTCATTCTAGCCACACTCAAGTTAAAAAAAAAAAAGAAAAAAAATTTTTTTTGCAAGTAAATTAAGAGGGAAGTCAGAAAGGCCCTAAAGAAACACTTCAGTGGAAATATTCAGAAAGTGGAAGGTGGAAGGCAAGGGCAATAGGAAGTGAGACGAATCTCCCTGCAAAGAAAAAGCATCAATATTTTAGTCTGGCAATACTGAGGACACTGAAAATAAGCACAGTTTTACCTTACTCAAGTCAGAACTCCTGTAAAAGTTCTGGTGAATTCTACTCAGCTCGGTCCACGTTATTCTTTCCACTCTTGAGTTTACATCTCTGTGAAAAGGTTGTGTTGGGCCTGACAAAAATCCCCACTACTCCTGGGAAACCCCATAAACATGTTTCCAAGAAACCACAGGGATGACAGTTATTTTTGCATGTTGATAAACATGGCCAAATCAGACAGCTGGTTTGGAGGTTTAGCTTGACATCAACCAATGGTCAGTGCACCTGTGAACTGGGTCTGTTTCAAAGACCTTTACTTTCACTCAGAGAGCTTCCCAAGACAAGGGGTGAACCCAGTCACCAGTCAAGGCCTGAAGCTCCCTAGCGAGGGCCAACTAGCAGTGGTGAGGCATGGGCAGGAGCTAGGGAAGGGCCCTTGTCACGAGGGGCCATTGGCGTCTGAAAGAGGCTGCCCTAGGACCAGAGCTGGTGCTATCTATGGAATTAGTTTCTAATTAGTATACAGATCTTCCCCTACCAACTTCAACTTCACACTCCTCTTAGATGACTCCCACTTCTTCCTAGGAAAAAAAACAAAACAGAAGGTGATGTTAGGTCACTCAAAATTCACCCTTTGGGTAATTTCCTGTCACCCAAAGAATCAATCAGTGGTTGCAATACCAAGTGCTCTTTTCACTGACTTCATCTTGAGAAGGGAGCTCTGGTGGTGTAGCCCACCAGGTTTTGCTGCAAACACAATGGTCATGGCTCTCTGGTGGTTAGTGGTTCGAGTCCCCCCAGCTGCTCAGCTGGAGAAAGGTGGATAATATCCCGTAAGATTTACAATCTCCCCAAAACCTACTGTAGGATCAACTTTAAATTGGTTCCAGGGCTCTCAATGACTCAAAAGCATTGAGTTTGAGCTCTTGTGGGGTGGAAGTTGCTACAGGCTGGGGCTGAGGTTCAAAATTATTTTCCCATATACAAGGATGATCTGGTTTCTATAACAGAAAATGTTTTAAAATATATCAACAACAACAAAAATCTCAACCAAACTAATAGGGATCTAAACCTCCTCCCTTACAATGAAGCTAAAATTCCAATGGTTTTCCTTTCTATTCAAGATTATTATTGTTGTTATGAGCCAGAGTTGCTTGCAACTCACAGAGACGCCATTTACAATAGCCCTAAACACTGCTCTATCCTGTGCCAATCTTAATTGTTTCTGACACACCTACCCCTATTACCCGAAGTAATTGAATCAATCCATCTCATTGAGGGTCTTCCTCTCTTGCGTTGTCCCTCCACCCTCCCAAGCATGATGTCCCTCTCCAAGGACTGGTCCTTCCTCATACTATATCCAAAATATGTCAGTTGAAGCTTCAGAATCCTTGCCTGCAAGGAGCTGCCTGGTTTCACTGTCTCTAAGATTAACGTATTTGTTCTCCTAGAGGTCCATGGAATATTCCATACTCTTTTCCAGCACCACAGCTCAAAGGCATCAATTATGTTTCTATCATCTCTAGTCATTGTCCAGCTTTCTGATACATGTCAAGTAATTGCAAAGACTAGGGTCTGAATCAGGCACGTCTTAGTCTCCTGGATGACATTGTTGCTCTTCAGTATTCTGGAGAGGTCCCTGATAGCAGATTTTCCCAATTTGTCTTTTGATTTCCTGGCTACTGGCACCAAAAAGTATTGATTGTGCTTTTCTAAAAATGCGAAGTTCCAAGTAGGGAGCCCTGGTGGCCAAGTGGCAGGGAGTTGCAATGCCAACCAAAAAGCATGCAGTTAGAATGCACCAGTGATTCTGTGGAATAAAGATGGGCAGTCTCATCCTCTGTGATTTATAGTCTCTGAAAACTTTCTTGAGGGTTAGGTATGAGTGGGTTCTGATTGGAGTTCAAGGACTTGAGTTTGAAACTTGTAGCATATTAAGCATGTTGTGTTAACAGAAAGGTTTGCGGTTCAAAACTACTCAGGCGCTCAGAACCCTGATGGAGGACGAACTTGAAAGTTGTAAATTTATTTGGTTTAAAGCTACTATGGAAGGGAATGAAGTCAGTGTGGGGAAAAGAAGCCATAGGGTGTATAAAGAAAAAACCCTTCATACTTACCTTCTCAAGTTAGATAAGAAAAACAATGCATACTGCTAAATTATGTATGTGACTATAGCCATATTCCTTATTCAAGCACATAGTGAGTAAACAGGGAGTGTGTCAATTCTTATTCACACTGTACCTGTCATACTCAGCATGGCTGACCTCTGTAACTAACTATAAAATTACAAATCCAATGATTTATATTCATAGCTACAACTATATGCATATATGCATATATACATACACTACTTGCATTGTTATGTAGATAATAAACAATGTATGCATTTGCAAACATACAGACTACATAGTTCTTCCTCTGAAATGATTTATCCAAATGAAGCACTACTAAAATTAATATTGCCAAAGAAGACATTTGCTGTGTTTACTTATACTTTTCCTACACATGTTTCTTTACCATCTTTCCATACATTGCAAATAAAAACCTAGAAAAGTATAATTTTAATTTTATTTTGTTCATTTTATTTTCCATCAAAAAAAGTCCAATATTAGATGTAGCACATGTATCTCCCAGCTCCTGACTAAAATCTCATGAAATAATATGAAATACATGCATCTTAAAATAATATAGCATCACATTAGAAAGTAAAACAGAGTGCCATTAATGATGATGTATAAAGGGAGACCATGGCGTATTTATGCATTAATTCAATACACATTTATTAAGGCTTTGCTATCTGTCAGACATATAAAGATTAGTAAAATCTAGCCTCAGTCAGCATAAAGCTTGTTATCTACAGGAGAAACACAGACACATAAAACGAATTTTAAAAATGAAAGACATTCTGAGAACAAACTGGGTCCTGTGGAGGGTATGACTCTTCTGCTTAGCTTATCAAGCAGGATGCTAGAGTAAGTTTCCTTAAAAGTGGCATTTAAGGTGCGGGAGGGGGGATTGTGTACCAATGAGGGAGTTTTTCTTTTGCTTTTCAAGGAGAGGAGCAAATGGGGGGGG